TTTTCGCGCGCCCGCTGGAGCAACTATTCCAGTTACGCGCGCGCTAAAACGGGAAATTTTGCGGCACGGCGCTAGTTTGGCGCGCCTGTTGGAGATGCTCTAATGAGAGACGACGTGCCGAGGAACAGATCTCGAGCGCCGTCCGAAGATCATGCGACGGTGGGCCACCAGCCGGCGCGGAGTAGCTGCATTATCTAAGATCTTGGGCAGTAGGCCAGGAGATGGAGTGGCCGCCCCTGTGCGACTAAGGAGACGGCCGTCGGGCTGCTGGTGTGTCGCCAGCAGAATGACGAACTGCCTGAGAATGAGGGACAAACCTATGAACTAAGATGAGGCACAAGTTTTCTTTTCACATGTCTGATTGCCTACGTTATTAATCATTACAATCACTCATAGTATTATTAATCATTACAATTAACATTAAGAAAAGATAAATCTACCTAACATCCAATTACCAAAATGTCCTAGGGAGAAAAAAACATTGAGTAGTACGATATACCGTAAAAAGTCTCTAAAAATAGGCTACAGTAGAAGCACCTCTAGGGTACCTGTCAGTTCTCATGAACACAACGGTAAGTGTAGACAAAGGAGGTTTCCAGCCCTTTTTTTATTTCTCTGAATAAAATAAAGGTTGCGACGGTTATCTAGGAGAATACTGATCTTGACTACTACCTTGATTTTAGCAAGACTCATTCAGTATCAGCAATAGTGCGAAGAACTTGGCAACATAGGAACTAAGTGATCAACTACAGCAATTAGAAACTAACCAGCACTATCACTTATATGAATACAGAAGTTTTTCGTTAAAAAGTAATGTTAGTTATTGTATGTCATGTTCCAATAATTCTTATTCAGTATAGCCAGACCTACAATAGAACTTTGCGTTAACACCCTAGTATGACTACTCAATGGCCATCATATATATTAGTACTCATATTAGTTCTATTGTAAGTCAAACTTTTAAATTTTGACCTAGTTTATATGGAAATATTAAACATGTATAATAAATACAGAAACATATTTCACATAATGTATGGTCAAAATTTGATTGTTTAGAAGTTGATGCTTCTCTATATGCCACCTATTTTAAAAAGTAGGGAGTACTATTCTTTGCTGGCAGAGAGAAAGATCTTTGGATGCTCAGGCTCCTGCGTGCATGCGTGTCAGCATCCTGCCTTTACACAAAGGCTCTTGTAATAATACGCACATATAAGACATATACACAAATAGTCCACACCTAACCTTCTCCTAAGATACAGCAGCAGCAGCCATGCCTTTTCTCGGTACTTCTATACTTCTTTCTCATGACATAGCCATTGCACTAATCACCACAATCACCTAACGCTGTCGTTGTCTACACGAAGCATCTAGCCTTTGTTATCATCCCCAACGTATCAGATCTTCCCTGGCCGAATGCTCACGCCGGCAAATCTCTAGTTTAATGTACATCCACTGCTGCAATCCTACGTCGCACTCGGTGATGCTTTCTACTAATACGCACACCCATATATTCATCTGAATGTCGCCAATCTCCTAGACATCACCCCTTTTCCTGATGTTGTTGTTGTTGTTGTTGGTTGTGTTACCATGATCCGTGCCATCCGTGGACCCGAACCGGATGTTGCCAATTTCAGCATCACCTTGCGCGCTCATCGGAATATCGTCTCAACGTGAACACTTCATGTCACCTTGTTATGTTGGGAAATGCAGTGGAAAACAAAAAGGTTTGCCCCACTATCATGATCCCAGGAACACTATGAAGATACATTAGAGGTTTAGATCATATCATTACCAACTTCGCGTTGCTATGGACGAAGAGTTGGTGTAGATCATTGATGAAGTCACTCAAACCGTTCAAGAATGATTCCTCAAACCAAAGACCGAAAGAACAACCTTTCTACGGATTGCACACGTCCGGGCTTTACGATCCGGCATAGTTACGCCGTTGAAAGCTTTGTCGTTGCCGGAGAATTAGAGGGAGAAGAAGAGAATCACACGGTGTTTTCTCTATTATGAGGATAAGAGAGAATTAGATCTAACTCATAACTATATCTAGAGAACTAGAGGAGGCTCC